CAGTCCTGCAAGTGGTGCCACTGTTACTCATGCACTCCAAACCAGGTACACTGTGTGTCAGTCTGGGGTTATCCTGGGAGGACTTCTGGAGCGACACAACTCCTCCCTCTTCCCACAAGGGAAGAGCAACAACCTGAGAAGGTCACAGCCGGGACAGTCCTGCCAGCCCCATCTGCCAGAGGGTTGTTCCCTGCTCTGTTTGCCAGGAACCTGCCTTCATTTCCCTGCACAGCTGGAAAGCGTTCAGGGCTGGATGGAATTAGCACACAGGCACAGAGCTACCATGTGTTCAGGTTTCCCTGGACTCAACCTTTCTGCCTGGAAATTAGATGCTGATGGAATTTGAGGTCTCTGGGGCATCCGCTGTGGGTCCCTCGACAAATGGCCACCGTGCATGAGGGGACCAGCGCACGCAGAATTATCTGGGTAATCCCAGACAGAAATTTGGGAATCAGGCATGTTGAACCACACCACTTTATCCTTCTTGAGGGAGAGCGATAAACAATAGAGAGATGCTGGAGAAGTTTTTGGTTTTTTGTCCAAGTAACATAGCCTTGGGAGACCTTTTTCCACCACTCAAATCTCACCTTCAGACACTGGGGATGCGTGTGGGCATTACTTGAATCCTGGCACAATGAAATGTAGCAATTACTGATAATTTTAGCCTCAACATGTGCAGTAATGCAGCATGCTAGCTTTAGGTTTCTACTCCATGCCTCAGCTGACAGGAGCACTACAACGGTGTGAGTCAGCCAAGGGGCAGAAAAACATCACTTTCAGCAACACTGTGTGATCAAGGGGACCCTTGAGGGGTGGAAAAGGTCAAAAATTCCCCTATCCCAACCCTGGCTCTCACTGCAGCTGTGGCATACTAACTCCTCTGTCCTCATCTGTAAAGTGGAGATACTACTCACCTACCCCACAGGAGAGCAGAGAGCTAATTGCCAGGGACAATTAAAGACTTGGCCCCAGAATTTATTACATCAAGAAATTAGATAACAAATGAAGCAGGACTCCACAAGTGTCACTGATCTTTGACATCTAGAGCTTCCAACCCACACTGAGGTCTTAGCAGCAGCAGTGATTAGTCTGACATCTAAATGTTCCTTGTTGGCAAGAGCTCGCCGTATCCAACAAGCGCGCATCTGCACACTTTGGGAGACCGGGAACCTCGCCTTTCCATCAGTCTGAACAGCACCTACCAAGCTGATGGGTCCTAAGAAATAAATAATGCACCACTGTAAAGTACATTTGTATTCATACACGCCTCATTTTTCCAAGCAGTAATCAAGAGTATTATGTTACCTATGGTCGAAATGATTAGTCATGTTTCCAAAGATTAATTTACATGTTCTTTTGTTTAATGCATACGAACTGAGTTAATGGCTGCTTATGAACTGAGCTAACAGTCATTTTGAGAAACAGATGTCCGATGCAGTTTTAAGCATTAAGAGTGCTTTTATTCATATCCTTAGGAGAAAAAGGGCTACATAGTCTACAGTAATAACACTAATGAATCAAAGTACTACAGCTGCCCAACAAAGTTTTGACAGAAACCAGCTTTTTCTCAAAGGAACTTTTTTTTTAGGACTCTGAGACAGTGAACAACTGGTAATATGCATGCTTAACATGTAAGTATGTGCTTTGCTGGAGCCAGAACACTGAATCAAGCCCTATCTGCAACCAAACAATGTGAGGCTTTTGCATAAGCACTGAAAACCGTAACTACACAAAGACAGGGAAATCTGTATGGAATCTGGATCTTCCACATTTTATACAAATAAATATTTGAAAGTTTGAGTGCTTCTGATACTATTTTGTGATGCTGAATGCAGAACAGGTTGTCTGCTTTAAACCCTGATAGATTGTGTGTGGGTGGTAGGGTTAGGATAAAAGAAAGGGAAGAAAGCTACTAGGAAAGCAGTTGGTGGCCGCAAATCTATGATAAATAAACAGCACATTCCTCTTCTGCACGAAGCCATTAGAGTCTGCGTTAGACTTTAACATCCTAATGTCAGCTGGGTGCAAATTTGACGGTCTAGGGTTCTGCAGTGCTCCCTATGGAAAATAGATTTGGAACAATTTGCCATGCCCCAACAGAGCATTTCTCTCAAGTTCCCAAGGAGCCTCTAATGCACCAGTTATTCACAGGACCCTTGCAACGAACCACGGGTTTGGTATTTTATGGTCTGGTGTGTACAGTGCAGGATATGATTACACACAAGCCTGCTTCCCATCAGCCAGCACCTCGTAATCGTTAACATATTTATCCTTGTGGTGCCTCAAGAAGATGACATTGTTATTAGTCCCATTTTATAGATTCAGAACTGAAGCTCAATAACTAAATGACTTGCCTTTGATTACACAAGATTTACAGAAGGACAGAAATGAGTCCCAGCCCTACCAGGCCCAAGCAAGGATTGCACCAGAAGGACTAGATGTATGTGCAGAGCTGTCCTTCATCTCAGGTGCTTGTAAGTCTTATGAAATGACTATATCTGCCCTGGGTTTTGTGCCTTTCATGTCTCAGCCTTTGCCACTGCAGATACCTGTAGGGAACATGGATGTAGATATATTACTAACATGCAAAAGCTGAACTCTTAAGTTACATCCCTCTGCAGCAGCTGGAGATGAGAGTCTCCAGATCCTGCTCATGGACTTAATAGAATATTGAGCAACTTTGCTCAAATGCGTAAGACATGCTGAGACAGTGTATTAAGAAAGGCCAACACCTAGTAAGATCTTCCTTTTCTGCTTCATCTATACCACACTGTGCTGGAAAATATGTTGACTGATAAGTTTTAGCCACAGTAAGGGTAATCATCAGGTCTGATTTAAGTACCAGTTAGTTAGAGGTTGTGGGTAAACTCTGCTTTCCGGCACAAACCACACCTCTCGGTATGGTCAATGCATTGAACAAGTCCCATTTTATCTGCTACATGAATTGGAGAAGAGAAGCCATTGCACAAGTAGAAAAAGACCTTTTCCAAACTCCTCTCAAAGTAGTCAGTAAGATGGAGGAAGAAAGCATTAGGACACACTGTTTTTTTAAGTTGAGATCTCCTCTATCCCTCCGATACTATCACCAGAGTAACTGCTGGTAAGACACACAGCTGATAGCCCTCTTTCCTTAACTGAACTGCTACTATGGAGAAGCAGGCTAGCTAGTGGTAACCATAGACCTCAGAGAAATGTATTGATCTTCTAGGAGGCAAACACTGGGAACCAGCCATTCCTACCTCTCAGGCTTCAGGCAGGGTGGGTGCACAGCTGCTACAGGTAAGAGATTTGCAACAAAGAGCACTGTCACAGATATGGGGCTCTGAATTTGACCTGCCTTCCTCTCTGTCTCAGAACAGTTAAAAACCCAGGTAAATATTTGTGTGCTTCATCTTAGACCTCTGCTAACCTTTCACCACTCTGTCTTCAGCGTATCTCTGTTTATCTTACCCTGAATAACGTTAAGCTTTCTTATCTAAGCAACAACTGCCTCCCAGCATTAAGGCTTACCCATCAGCTGCCTCCCTGACCTGATGCGCACCCCAAATGTTTCTGGTTGTCCCCAACTGCTGCAAATGCAGAGCTTTTACTGGGCATACAGATTTATGCAGGAGCCCAGCTTCTGTGAGAAATCCTGCTCAATACTTTTGAGCCTTCCAAGGCTGGGTGTGATTTGTGCAAATCAGATGGTGTAATTTTATTTTTTCAGTGGGGCCAATGGGACCAACCAATGGCCCAATGGGACCAACCTTCAGGCAGGGAAGTACAACTCAAGATCTGAGTCAGGTCAGAATCTGGCTCTGTACAATTACTATATAGCAAAAGTAAGATCATTCCTAAAGCAATAATAAAGCCACTTGAGATTTTTTTAATAAGCACCAATATCTCATATTACTTATTAGTACCCAGCATCAGCAATTGACATAATACTTCCCCTAAAGGATTGGGCCACTCAGAAACATTCATATGTAAAGCAAATCAGAAGTCACCAACAAAACGGAACACGAAAGGACATCAGGGGCCTAACCAAGTATGAGGAATGTTTTTCTCATGAAAAGCTTGAATCAAGAAACAAACGGGAATTGAAACAGAGCAGGATGCTGTCCCTGCCTGGCACTACAGGAAAGAGCTGATTTTCATGATGATCTTTACTCTTGGAAAAAGAAAGCACGAACCTTCATCAGAGACTAGGAAGCCAAAGGAAATACCAAGATGAAAGAGTGCAGTAAAGATGCATGCCTTTCTGTATCATTTAGATGAAAACATTAAAATTGATGGGAAGACATTTAATTAGCTACTGAAAGAAGCCAAAGAGGGGAAGGGGAGAAACCGAAGAAGACGGAAATACTGATACTGCAGATGGCTTGAAACCACAGGTAATTTCCTGTAGATTCACTGAAGTCAAAAGTTACAAATGAGGAGAGATCTACAGGCCCACCTAGTCCCACTTAAATCACCTGTTAATCTACAGACAATTAGAGACCAGGGTGGTATTGGCACATAATTACTGCCAGTACCTGCCTAAGGAAGGCGAGATCAAAGTCACTTTAAAAACAAAATAATAACATTTTAACCAAAAGGTTTGTAATTATGAGCTTGAAAACAAAATGCTGGGGCAAAAATATCAGCAAATGCTCATCTATACCACCTAACTCTTTGGATATCATAGGACTGTTTACCACAGTACATTTTATAGGGCTCAGTCCAGTCTGATTGCAAATACTGTACACCGTGACGAGCAGGTCCTACAGAACACAGTCAAACCCACTCTGTGTTAGCAAGGTTTATCTAAAACCCCCCTCAAAATCTGCCCTCCTGAGTACCAGCCCATTAACCCAACTTGAACAACTCTTCTCCCTCTATCTTGTTTTGCAAGTATTTGCTGCTAGCTTTCCTCTCCCCTTGCCAAGTCTTTTCCCACCCAGCTTTAACTTTGTTTTCCATGCTGAGCTCTTCAGCCTCCCTCTTCCCACTGTCTGAGTGTGCATGGTGAAACTTACGGTGCTCGGTCATGGTTCAACCCATTCTGTCTTTGTGCATTTATTGGAGGTAGAACAGGTTTGCTGTTAATCTCAAGCCCTCTCCGCAAAGTCTCCCTGATTTGCTCCGTATCTGCAAAGAGAATTTTTTTAACATGGTTTAGAGTCCCCAGAAACATCACAGACACAAGGAGATGTCAGCTTTTTTTTTTTTAAAAAGGCCTGTTTCTATGTTGTGTTTCATCTAAATGCTTCCCCTTCAGAAAGAAATTATGCTAAGGGTGAATTCTTAACAGCTCTTCCTGCACCTTAGGAGTTATTTCACTTTATAAAGTCAGCTTGAATTCCCTTGGTTTGGGTTGTGATGTTATGTCAGGCAAGGACAGCTGGAACCTTTGGTCCTGTGCCCTCCTGATGAGGAAATTCTGAGTAGTTTTGTATCCTTTCATAAATGAGGTGTTTGCTGTTTCTGCAGCTCTCCCAGAACCTCCTGACACCTCCAGCCGTTGCACTGTAAGTCACTTTTCCCATAAGGCATAACAGGAATTTGTTCCTTTACCAAACAAGTGCAAGGAGGTCCTTGAGTTTTTGCAACTGGCTTTGCAAATCTGTTGATTAATTTACAATAAAATCCACAAAAGAAAGGAATTTTATGCAGGGCAAACTTTATCCTCAAGCTCATGTTTGAAAATAAACTGCAAATTATGGAGTTCAGATGCAGTCTTTTTACTTTCTCATTTTCCTATAATGTCTAATGGCCAAATACTTTAATAGGATGCTTTCCTACCTTTCTTAGAAATTTCCTCATCTTCTTCTGAGAAATGTGGAAATTAGGTAAAGAAAAAATATCCAAATTATTTCAAAAACATTTGAAAGACATACAAATATCACCATGTATACCTGTCTTGGGCTTTTCATTTGCAGAGCTGAAGGAAAATAGCCTTTATAATCCAGTACAGTTCAAAATATTTGCATAGAAGCCAGAAGGAACCCTATATGCATTTAATTTTTTTTTTTTACCATAGACTTAAAAAAAAAAAAAGATACCATTCCTGTGGAAAGCATAGTTAATTCCAGGAAATCTCAAGTCCTCAAATTTTATGTTACTTCACCCATGTGAAAGATAACACGCATAATTTTAAGCACATGAAATGGCTATGACAACATCTGTACCCTGAGATGGCATCTCACTGCAAAGGGGAACTCCGTATTTTATTTCTTCTTTCCAGAGTTCCGTATTTGCAAGAATCACTTGAGTTCAGCCACAGCAACATGCAGCGTCAGTCCAACTTGTCACCCAAGAAGTGACAACGTTAAAAAGGAAGCGCAGCCTGGGAAAACGCAGTTGCTTCACCTTGCAGGTGTTTACAGTCCTGGTCTCACTCAGCGCTTGGTTTAACTTTGCAGAGTTAATTAGAAGTAACCTAAAAACAATGCAAAGATCTCTTTTCCTCTGTCCTGCCTTCCTCAAAGAGGCCACACCAACATTCATTTTGCTCCCCTGAGACACACTGAGCCTTCCAATAAATGTGGTGTTTGTTATGAACCCCAAGATGCTGCATGACTCAGCCCACTGCCCAGACCCATCGGAAAACAAGCCGAAAGGCCATGACAGCGTCTCGGCCCAGGACCTCTTACCTTTCCCGGAGAGTCGCCGCGGCTGAGTCCCAATGCAAATGCTCCTGCTGTCTTCATCATCCTCCGGGGGCCGGCTGAGATCATCCCAGGCACATTTGGCACTCACTCCACTCAGGTTTGACCCATCTGTCTCAATCCCTTTGTCGACTCTCTCCTGCTTGAAAAGATCCAAAACCCCAAGACTTTTTTGGGTGTGGCTTGAACCTGAGCTGGAACCCACCCTGGCTCAATCCAACCTTCAGCAGCTCCTGTGCATCCCCCCCCTCACAGCCAGTTTCCACTCTGGCCCCTGTGCTTTGATGTGTCAGCTAACAGTGATTGCACATTGAGCCACATCAGGGAGCTGGTCTAAACTGGAACAAACCTTTTCCATAGCAGGTTGGTTTGAACTCCTACCCTTTCCCCACTGCTTTACTACGTGGCCCTGGCAGGCACAAAGCAGGG